AACTCTATGGTCAACTAATCTTCGACAAAGGAGGAAAGAATGTCCAATGGAACAAAGACAGTCTCTTCAACAAATGGTGTTGGGAAAATTGGATAGCCACATGCAGAAGAATGAAACTGGACCATTTCCTTACACCACACACAAAAATAGACTCCAAATGGTTGAAAGACCTCAATGTGAGACAGGAGTCCATCAAAATCCTAAAGGAGAACACAGGCAGCAACCTCTTTGACCTCAGCCGAAGCAACTTCTTCCTAGAAACATCGCCAAAGGCAAGGGAAGCAAGGGCAAAAATGAACTATTGGGACTTCATCAAGATAAAAAGCTTTTGCAAAGCAAAGGAAACAGTCAACAAAACCAAAAGACAACCGACAGAATGGAAGAAGATATTTGCAAATGACATATCAGATAAAGGGCTAGTATCCAAAATCTATAAAGAAATCAAACTCAACACCCAAAGAACAAAGAATCCAATCAAGAAATGCGCAGAAGACATGAACAGACATTTTTCCAAAGAAGACATCCAAATGGCCAACAGACACATGAAAAAGTGCTCAATATCACTCAGCATCAGAGAAATCCAAATCAAAACCTCAATGAGATACCACCTCACACCAGTCAGAATGGCTAAAATTAACAAGTCAGGAAACGACAGATGTTGGTGGGGATGCGGAGAAAGGGGAACCCTCCTACACTGTTGGTGGGAATGCAAGCTGGTGCAGCCAGTCTGGAAAACTGTATGGAGGTTCCTCAAAAAGTTGAAAATAGAGCTACCATATGATCCAGCAATTGCACTACTGGGTATTTACCCCAAAGATACAAAAGTAGGGATCCGAAGGGGTACGTGCACCCCGATGTTTATAGCAGCAATGTCCACAATAGCCAAACTGTGTAAAGAGCCAAGATGGTCCATCGACAGATGAATGGATAAAGAAGAGGTGGTATATATATACAATGGAATATTATGCAGCCCTCAAAAGGAATGAGATCTTGCCATTTGCAACGACGTGGATGGAACTGGAGGGTATTATGTTGAGTGAAATAAGTCAAACAGAGAAAGACATGTATCATATGATCTCACTGATATGAGGAATTCTTAATCGCAGGAAACAAACTGAGTGTTGTTGGAGTGGGGAGTGGGGTGGGAGGGATGGGGTGACTGGGTGATAGACACTGGGGAGGGTATGTGCCCTGGTAAGCGCTGTGAATTGTGCAAGACTGTTGAATCTCAGATCTGTACCTCTGAAACAAATAATGCAATATATGTTAAGAAAAAAAAGAAGAAGAAGAAGAAGGTAGCGGGAGGGGAAGAATGAAGCGGGGGAAATCGGAGGGGTAGATGAACCATGAGAGACGATGGACTCTGAAAAACAAACAGGGTTCTAGAGGGGAGGGGGGTGGGAGGATGGGTTAGCCTGGTGGTGGGTATTGAGGAGGGCACATTCTGCATGGAGCACTGGGTGTTATGCACAAACAATGAATCATGGAACACTACATCTAAAACTAATGATGTAATGTATGGGGATTAACATAAGAATAAAAAAAAAAGATAAAAAAAAAAAAGAAATAAACTAGGGGCGCCTGGGTGGCTCAGTGGGTTGAGCATCTGCCTTCAGCTTAGGTCATGATCTCAGGGTCCTGGGATCAAGCCCTGCGTCACTGGGCTCCCTGTTCAATGGGGAGCTTGCTTCTTCCACTCCTTTTGCCCTTCCCCCCCCCATGCTCTCCCTCCTCTCATGCTCTCTCTCTTTTTCTCTTTCAAATAAATAATAAATAAAATCTTTTTAAGAAAGAAATAAACTAGAAACTTCTCTAGCAGTTAATGACACTTGAATATCCACTACAAATTAGATGCATTATTGGTGCTCAAAGTTCTCAGTCTACACACACACACACACACACATACACACACAAACACACACATACCAAATCCAGGAACACATAGTCTCTCTTCCACAGGCCTATCATTAATCTTCCCCTTACAAACTATCTATCAGATAAGGGGTTAATATCCAAAATATATAAGAAGCTCGTACAACTCAATGGTGAAAAAAAAAACCACACACACACAAATAAAATAGAGATCATTCCAAAGATAGACATCATTCCAAAGAAGACATACAAATAGCCAACAGGTACATGAAAAGATACTCAACAACACTGATCATCAGGGAAATGCAAATCAAAAGTACAATGATATATCACCTCACACCTGTCAGAGTGGCTATTATCAAAAAGATAAGAGATAATGTGTTTGGAAGGATGTGGAGAAAAGGGAACCTTTGTTCACCGTTGGTGGGAATGTAAACTGGTGCAGCCATTATGAAAAACAGTATGGCAGTTCTTCAAACAACTAAAAATAGAACTACCATATGATCCAGCAATCCCACTTCTGGGTATATAACCAATAGAAATGAGATCACTACCTCAAAGAGATATCTGCACTCTCATATTTATTGAAACATTATTTACAATAGTCAAGACATAAATAACCTAAGTGTCCATCAACAGATAAATAGATAAAGAAAATGTGGTATACATATATATAAATTCAGCCAAGAAAGGAAAGAAATCTTACCCCTTATGATAGCATGGCTGGAACTTTGAGGGTACTATGCTAAGTGAGAAAAGTCACAGAAAGATAAATACTCTATGATCCACTTATATGTGGAATCTATAAAAGCCAAATTCACAGAAACAGAGTAATTTTTAGTTGCCAGAGTCTGCATGGTGGGGGAAATGGGGAAATGTTGGTCAAAGGGTACAAACTTCCAGCTATAAAATGAGTAAATTCTGGGTATCTATAAGCAGCATGGGGAATATAGCAAATAATACTGTATTACATACTTGCAAATTGCTAAGAGAGTAGATCTTAAATGTTTTTACTGCATGATAAAAATTGTAATTATGTGATGTGATGGATATGTTAACTAACTTTATTGTGGTAATCATTCCACAATGTAGATGCATCAAATCATCACATTACATACCTTAAACTTACACATATATCAATTATATCTCAATAAAGCTGGTAGAAAATTCTTTACATGTACTAGGAACATTCTCTGAATCCCACCTGGTGCATCCTGAGTGCTCTAAGTGAGTCTTTGTTAAATAAATGAATCAATCATTCACAGGAAGGCGTAAATGCCTGATGACTTAAGATACCCTGCCACGCCCCTCTCTACACACACACCAATATATTTAACTTCAATGGAGTGCAAAGCTTCAAATGACAGAATTATGTTTCCAACCATATAGTTCCTCTAAAGTCCTATCACCTAGGTGTCATTTAACCATCTATGAAGTGACTTTCTCTGATCCTCTTTGGATCCCCATTTAGTTTACAAAAGCCTGAAATTTCAAACTATAGTGAATTTATGACAGATCAATTAAGAAAATGTGCCATTCTTATAGCTTATAATTCTATTTTATAATAGAAATCCTGCTCATTCTCCCATCCTTCCTCTTACCACTCAAAATAACTGAAGTTAAAATTCAATCCAATTCAATCCCTATAGTTAAGCAAGTGCTAAGTCCATCCATCACATAGCAGATGATTTTCTGCTATGTATCAAAATTATAAAATTGATTATTATACTATTCAAATAATAGATGATAAAGGAAACCTGCTTTATCCGAGTTGGCTAAATTGGCCTGCAAACCAGGTTTAAAAAAGCAGATTCATTCAGAATAAAATGCTTTAAGATCCTGTTTTTAATGGGAAATTTTTCTTGGCTCTCTCAAATGTAAAAATATGTGATGCATTACCAAGAACTCCTATAGTAATCATTACGTTATAATTTCCACCATACGTAAGTTTTATTAGGCTGAATAAATAAGTTTGTCTTTTATAGGCTTGCACGGGCTTTCATTCTCAAAATTATTTTGGAAAATAAAGGCTGTACTGAATAATTTGAGTTTAGCCATGAAATGAATATGACAATTATTCTACTTCAACAGCATTTGGAATTAGTATTTAAATCAAATAGTCTAATTCCTCATTACCCAATATAACCCTGTTCTCTCAAAAGCATGAGAAAAGTCTGGAAGATAAGTAATTCTTAAGAATAAGAAATGAAAAGAAAGAGGAGGTTGGAATAGTAAGAGAAATAGAAAAAGAAGGGTATTTAAGAAATTAAGAAGATAATTAGAAAGATATAGTTTACTGATATATAAATATATGTTAATATATTTCAGCTTTAGTTTTTATACATAAATTTAAAACCTTCTTTTAAAGGTGTCTTTTAGGGTGACTGGACATCCCAATTTCCTGAGACTTCGGTTTCAGGGCTTGAAAGTCCTGGCAAATCCCTCAGTCCTTGGCCAACTGGGACAGTGGTCATCCTACTTTTAATTCATCTGTTCTTAATGATATAGGAAAGGCATTAGGGTTCAAAGCCAGACAGCCAAGAAAGAATTCTTGAGACGTCTTTGGTGGAAAAAGGCAGTTTTATTAAAGCATGGGGATAAGACCCATGGGCAGAAAGGGCTGCACTGGGGTCATGAGGAATGGCCCATTATATGCTTTCAAGTTGGGAGGGGGTTAGGGATAGTGTAAGTCTCTAAGGAATTTTGGAAGCAAGGTTCTAGGACCTTGAGAGGGCTAGCTATTGTTGGGAAAATGTCATTTACTACTGTCTAATAAAACCTGAGTCATGAGACCCTTCAGGTGTATATCAGTGGGTCATATGCTTGGGGGATGATTGCCAACATGTATCTTGGGGGTAAAGATAAAGGAAGTTTCCAAAGGAATTTTTATATGTTAAAGTAGACTTAAAGGGTCCCAGGGGTTGGGCTAAGATTGCCTTTTGCCCTTAGCAAAGCAGCTGAGTCCCCAGAGGAATGTCACTCTGCCTGTTTTAAGGACTTGTCAATGTGCTGTAGGTAGTAAGGAAATTTAATAGTTTTTCTTCTGCCTTTGTTTCCCACATCAGTTAAGGACTTGTAGTTTATCATTTTTCCTTCAATGTTACGGTTAGAAAATACAACACACATACCTGAAATTTCTGGTTGCTCTGGATGTTCATGACATTTCTCTCCCACTGATTCTGGAGCCCAGCTGTGTTTTGCCATAAATGCTGAATGGGACCACCACATGTGGTTTGAAGGCCAGCCACTAATTTGCCACTCACTTGGCTGGAGAAGTAATAAAATGCAATCTGTGAAAAATAAGTAATGTCCGAACAATTAACAGAAGTTCCCAAATGTGAAAAGTATTTAAAATGCTGTGTGTTTTCAAATACCTGACAAGCATGTTGGTTATTCGTCGGAAGAAAAACTCTGCTTCTTAAGTCTGAGGAAGTAGAACCCACTTTGGAGACCAGTGAGAGGAAGTGGGCTGTTGGCAACAATAGTCCACATGTTACAGTCAGAGCAATCTTCGGTAAACTTATTTAGTACACCAGGCAATCATAATTCAGGCCCATAGCCACATTAGGTCAATATATTTCTGTTTCAAGAATGAAACATTTAACCACACCATTCGCTTTTGCAAATGGTCTGACTGATTGTTTTATGTCATTACATTCCCCAGCGAAATAGCTCATTGTGATTATACTCCCTATAATACTATTATGGGTTGCAGTCCATGATCTAACTTATATCCTGTAACATAGAAAGTTATAGCCCTGCAAAGAGGGTATCCAGGGAAAACACCGTACTGGGATCGCTCACCAAAATAAATGAAAAATTCAAAGGAGATCATTGTTTGCTGTGATTTACTCTAGAAAGAATAGGATCGAAGAGTCCCAGCTTTCCCTGGGATCTTGGAAAACGATGCAGAGCCCTGATGCTCTCCCACATGTTGCAGTGCAGATTCTGCCACGGAACCATTACTGTTTAGAAGGCTAGAACATAAATGTGGACCACTTTCCTGGGCTTTCATAAATTTCCTGCAATGCTTGACATGGTTACAGCGTATAATCGGGGAACCACTGTGTTCTACTACTCTACTGGGTGTTTTGCTATTTGTCAAAAGGAATGAAAAAATGATGCTGTTGATGATTATGATAACCTATCTACCAAGTTATTTCATGGTCATTTAAAGCTGGGTTGGTATCAAATTTAATTGTCACATCAAGAGAATCAATAGTAGAATTATGAAATCTAAGAAACCTCTTCTTCCCTACACCTATTCCAAAATTGTACCCTAATTAAGTAGAAAACAATGACATTAATGATTGCTATAAATATGGTCAGAGGCATTACTGAAATCCCTGCAATAACAGAAGACCGTTCTGAGAATGTACTCCCTGGAATAATTATATAAACATAATTTAGATGAAGAGCTGGTATTACGGTAATACAGTGGACAATCATTAGTTTGCTCTTGCTTTGTGTTGTCAGACAAATGCTAAGCAAATGAATAATCAAATAGGCATGAGTTATTATATTTACTATATAGTATATATTATTATTTAAATAAGTGTTATTGCAATAATATTACTAGCAATACAAATGAATAGTATTCAGCTGGGTGGCTCTGTCAGTTAAGCATCCGACTTTTGAGTTCAACTCAGGTCATGATCTCAGGGTCGTGAGATGAAAGCCGCTCATGAAACCACAAGCTCAGTGTGGAGTCTTCTTGAGGTTCTCTCTCTCCTTCTCCTTCTACCTCTTCCCCCACTTGCATTCTAAATAAATAAATATCTTTTTTAAAAAGGTAAAGTTTTATTTATTTTTTTTAAAGATTTTATTTATTTGAAACAGAGAGAGAGCACAAACAGGGGAGCTGCAGGCAGAGGGAGAGGGAGAAGCAGGCTCCCCGCTGAGCAGGGAGCCCGATATGGGGCTCGATCCCATGGTCCTGGGGTCATGACCTGAGCCGAAGACAGACACTTAAATGACTGAGCCACCCAGGTGCCCAAAGGTGACGTTTTAAGTTCAGAAACAGCTTGAGATCTTTTGAATTTGTCTAGGAATAAACTTTCTTTTTATGGGCAAAAACAAAGCAGTGTTCAAAATGCACCCAATACCGACATCTGATTTCTACCTTTAATTCCACCTTAGTGGCAATAAGAAGCATTTTTTTAAATGCACACTCAATTTTACCTTGCTCCCTATAGTGTGAGTATAGAATTTCTTTAACTCACTGATGATGTTCCTTAAAGAAAAATACTGTCTTATGGAAAACTCTCCTTTGTGTTCAAAAGCACTTTAGTCATCATGTCTATAAGTATAAAAGAAAGAAAGAAGCATATCCTTGCCAGCATAAGTTTTTCCCACATGTCCATTCCTTCATCCCATGCCCCCTCCTACTGCTGCTTCTAACCACTGAGAAGAGACTTAAGAAGCTGGTAACCAAAAATGGACCCAGTGTTTTCTGCACACACCCCTCTTACCCCTGAAGTAGCCTATGAACAATCATATCACGCACATATATGCAAACATCACTGTCACCATTGTAAGTTTCCTATTAATCCCTACCATATTCATCTCAGTTTGTTTATATGGTTCATAAATTCCCATTTTATGACTGCATCCATAAAAGCAAGAGCATAGCATATCTTTAAAACATATTTCAAATAATCTCATGGTAAAGTGTTAACTATCAAAATGACAAAATAAGAACAAGCAGTATGATTTTATTGATAATGTTAATGTTTATATTAAAGGTCTTCCAAAGAATATTTTTTTCTCAGTTGCTGGGTAAGCATTGGAATAAAATCCCAAAATAAACCAAGATTGATGACCCAAAAAAAGGAAGTATATAAAATATGAAAGCAACAAAAAACCATGAATCAAGTCTGGAGGGCTAAATCCAACAACTTTGGCAGTGAATTCCACCAGCTTTGATCCTCAAGAAAGATAAGGTAGAATTTTCAGTCTCACTTTCATCAACTATTGACAGGCAGCCTTGCATTTCCTCCATTCCCAAGTTTTAAGTGATTAATAGGAATGAGTGTGAGCAGAAGAAACATAAATCCTATTGCATGTTACAGAACAACCAACTGGCTCAAAGGAACTTAAAAAATTTGAGTATTTTGAGTGAAATAATATCAGTCCTTGAGAACACTTCAAAAATCAGGCTGCAGGAATGGATCACCATGACAAGGTCCAAGACCTGAAGCAAAGGTTAAAGCGTCAAAACTTTTCGAAAGGCAAAAGTGTGTTCACCTACGACGGAAATATGCTAAGTTCAGATAACAGAGAGGAAATAATAGTCTTCAATATAAACTTTTTCCAGTTGGTAATTTCTATTTATTAAATTCTGTTTCCATTAAATCATAAGTTTTTTCTCATACCCTCTCATTAAACTAACAAGCTCAACACAACCACATAATATTTGCTAAAACCCTATCTCTTAAAGGACACCCTCAAATAGTAATCTCTTAAAATTGCTGGCAACTTACAAATGAATGCAGCCATATCAATTTAAGCCTGCTTTTGTGATGAAGAGCTAGAGGGATCACTTCAGTGGATCATAAAACTTGACCATAAACATGAGGGTGATGTTAACAAAAATGCCAATGTGAAGACCTCTGAAAATATACTCCTCCATACAGGTAATGAAAAAAAAAAAAAAACTGGCAAGTGAATTTTATGGTTTTTCACTGTTTTGTTTTGTTTTGTTTTGTTTTAAGTAGGCTCCGCACCCAAAATGGAGCCCAACCGGGGGCTTGAACTCTCGACCCTGAGATCAAGACCTGAGCCCAAATCAAGAGTCAGATGCTCAACCAACTGAGCCCCCCAGGCACCCCTTATGGTTTTTTAACTTGCCTTATTCCCACTGCCCACTTCCAGCTCCATAACAACTTTGAAAAGTAGCAAGCCAGCGTGGCAACCACAGCAATGAGCAGAAAACAGAGCTCTTTCAAAGCCTCATTACCAAATAATTGTCATTATTTGACATATTCGGTATTTCCCCGAAAGATCCCACTTACAAGGCTGGAAATTCACCACATTAATACTTTGCCCAGTGCAAAAAGCCTCCTTCCCAGCAAACATTTGAGCCAGCTGGTTACGCTGTAACATGCAATAGGATTTATGTTCTTTCTGCTCACATTCATTCCTATTAATTATTAATTATTAATCACTTACAACTTGGGAAATGGAGGAAATGTGAGGTAAGTATTTTAATTTTATAGTTGCCTGAGGTAGCATATAACAGTTGGAGCTCAAATAGTCTAACCAAATTATAATTTCTAGGGCAACCACTAATAAAGTAATTCAAAAAATACATAGTGAAAGGGGTGCCTAGGTGGCTCAGTCGGTTAAGCGTCTGTCTTCAGCTCAGGTCATGATCCCAGGGTACTGGGATCGAGCCCCACATCAGGCTACCTGCTTAGCAGGGAATCTGCTTCTCTCTCTGCCCTACACCCTGCTTGTGCTCTCTCTTGCTCTCTCTCTCTCAAACAAATATAAAAAAAATAAAATATTTTAAAAATATATATAGTGAAAAAGTAAATTAACAGGATACACTACAGAATATCTATGTAACAGAAAACAGTAATGGAGGAAAACAGTAACAGGAAAGACATGAGACACACAGAAAACAAACAGCAGGTGGCAGGTGTAAGTCCTATCTTAGCAGTAGTTATGCTATATGTAAATTGATTAAAGTCTCCAGTCAAAACTCTGAGGTTGACATGTTGTATAAAAGTATGATCCAACAATACAACTACCCCAAAAGGGTGAATATAAATGGATATAAACACCATAACATATAAACAATAAACAAAAGGAGAGCTGGAAATTCAGGGAGAAAAAAGATTTAACACACACAAAAAAATTGTTATTAGAGACAAACAAGTACAATTTATAATGATAAAAGAATCGACCCATCAAGAAAATCTAATAATTATAAACATATACACCTCAAAACAGAGCCCTAAAGTATATGAAGCAAAAGCTAGTAAAAGCAAAGTGAAAATAAACACTTCAACAATAATAGTTGGAGACTTTGGTACCCCATTTTCAAGGATGGATAGAACACCCAGAAGATCAGTAAGGAAACAAAAGACTGAAGCAACACAATACACCTATTAGACCTAACAGACACATACAGAACACTCCATTCAATGACAGCAAAATACTATGTTTCTACAGTGCACACAGAATATTCTCCAGTGTACACCATATTTCAAGCCATAAAACAAATCTCAATATATTTAACAAGATATGAATTAAACAAGTATGTTCTACAGCCACAAAGGAGTGATTTGAGTTAATAGCAGAAAGAGATGTGGGAAATTCCCAAATATGTGGAATCAAATAACATACTCCTAAATAACCAATGGGTCAGGCGCCTGGGTGTCTCAGTTGGTTAAGCATCTGCCTTTGGCTCAGGCCATGATCCCAGGGTCCTGGGATCAAGCCCCACATTAGGCTCCCTGCTCA